GGTGGATGGATGGATGGACGGATGGATGGATGGATGGATGGATGGACGGATGGATGGATGGACAAATGGATGGATGGATGGATGGGTGGGTGGGTGGATGGATGGACGGATGGATGGATGGACGGACGGACGGATGGATGGATGGACTACTGAACTGGAAGGCAGTTGTGCTCCAGTTAATAAACCAGTATTTGCTTCAATCTATGTCTTTTGGGAGCAACGATCATCTCCTGGAGAAAGTAGAGAAACCAGCACAGCTCAGTAGTAGAAATCGAAGCAATCTCCAGTCCTCTTTGGAGAAACCCCCACCACCTCCGCTGCCCAGCCCTGTGAGCCCCACTGGCACTCTCTCTCTTTCTCCCTGTCTCTGTCTCCCCTCATCGCTCACATGCACACCTCTAGTCCTTGAACTCTTGGCTGACCAGCCTTGAGAAGAGAAGGCTGTTACAGGTAACATTCACTTCTAGGGAATATCCAGTTAACTCTTCAGAGGGGTGGTCCCCTTGGCCGAGGGTGGGGACTTCCTCACGGACAATAAAGCACTGGGCATCCAGGACCCAAAGCCATGCTGTGGAGACCCTTACCCTAGTTGGGCTTGCTGGCCAGAGTGGGAGGAAGTACTCCCTCTTTACCACCCCGACTCCAGCCTTCCAGTAAGGGAATGAGGGAGTCGTGGAAAGAGAAAAGAGGAAGGAGGGTAAGGCAGAAGGTTCTAGAAGTGGTGCAGAAGCTCAGCTTACCCCTGCTGCTCCCTGCCCAGTGTTCCAGGACTGGGCAGAGTGGGTAGAAGGAGGGGAACAAAGGCATGGGTCGATGTCAGCCACCCTAAGACATTAGCACGGAATGGGTGAGGGACAATGCAGAGGTGAGGCACCTCCAGGCATAGCAATTACAGGCAAACGACAAAGAGGGTTAACTATTTGCCAACAACAGTAAATATCTGAGATATATAAAGAGCTCGTACAAAAGCTCGCGGAGAAGACGGCAAATCATATAACAGGAAAGTCAAAAAAAAGACAGCTCATAACATAAACCTGGAGGTCTAACCAACAGGTGAAAAGATATCCAATCTCATGGGTCACTAGAGGTCTATTCGGAGTCGTCAAGGGTGTGAAGCAACCCAGCCCTAGTATATAACAGCGTAACAACTGTTTTTCAGTTGTTCCACTGATAGAGCCCAGACAGAGTAGAGCTAGCACCATCCGAAGGGCCCTGGGATTTCTGGAATGGCCAACGAGCACTGGCTTCACCTTGAAGTCACCAGCTGCATTAGCCCCTAAGGAGAGAGTCAGCCGGTCCTTTGAAGCTTTGAAGCCAGGCGTTGACTTCTCTTCACCAGCTCTGAAAGTTCTAGATGGCGTCTTCGTCGAACAGAACACTGTGTGGTCTACCTTGAAGTCTATTGCTTAGGGG